TCATTATCACTACTGCCTTTATTAGCATTGTTATCATTATCATTATTACTATTACCTTTATTATCATCATTGTTAACATTACTTTTATTACCAATGTTACATAATTACACTTATTTATACCTTGCTTTTACTATGATCATCATAAATCCTATTGTCATTGTTACCATTTTCCTTACATTCTTTATTATCATAAGCATACTGACTGTTAATAATATTATAATCAATCTTATATTTGATTCATTGATATCGTCATTGTCACTACCATTGATAATTTCATCTCTGTTACAAATTACTGCCAATACCATCAATATTATTCTCAGTATCATTGGTAGTGTTGTTGTTGTTGCTATCATTATTATCATTACTATTATTATTATTATTATAATCATTATTATTATTATTATTGTAATTATTATTATCATCATTATTTTATTATCATAGTTTTCATTATTATTATTATTACTATTATTGTTATCGTTATTGTTATCATCATTGTTATTATAATTATAATAATAATAATAATAATAATTATTATTATTATTATCATTATCATTTTTATCATCGTCATCATCATTACCTGCCATTTACATCTTTAGCACTATAAATATTATAATTTCCTTCATTACAGATCACAACAACAAAAAATGAAAAAAACAAACAAAGATTATAATAAATGAAGAAATACTAAGAAGCACAAAAGAGAGAAAGAAAGGAAGAAAAAAAGATAGATAGATAGAAAGGAAGAAGGGTGGAAAAAACTAAAAAGATACATAGATAGAAAGGAAGAAAGGGTGGAAGAGACGAAAAAGATAGATAGATAGATAGGAAGGAAGAAAGGGTGTAAAAAACTAAAAAGATAGATTGAAAGAAAGATAGATGAAAAAACAAAAAAGATAGATGAAAAAAGATAGAGAGATACATAGAAAGGAAGAAAGGGTGTAAAAAACTAAAAGATAGAAAGAAAGGATGAAAAAAGGATAGATAGAAAGAAAGAAAGAGGAAAAAACAAAAGGGTTGATAGAAAGAAAGGGTGAAAAAAGGAAAAATAGAAAGAAAGAAAGACAAAAGACAAAGAAAAAAGAAAGAAAAAGTTAGAACCAGACCTCAAAGTTAACCAACGAGTCTCTGAGTCTTTTACGCCTAAATTGCTTTAATGGAGGGAGTACCGGAGTATAACCTTTATTTATTTATTTTTTTTGTTGTTGTTGATTAAAGTCATCGTTGTCAACTGTTATCAGTATTGTTATTTTGATTGTTAATGTCGTCATTTACTATTAACATTATTATATTTTACCTTTTCATTATCTATCAGTATTATCATGAGCATCGTTATCATCGGCATCGTTACCTTATTACTATGATAATGATAATGATAATGTTTAATAATTGTCTTTAATATTGATTAACATAAAAGTCAAATTCATCTCTATCCATATTCCAATTATTAGGTTAATGATTATTATTTTCTCAGTCATTACTCTTACTTTCGTCTTTATATAATTGTCAAAATCTTTAATATTATTAACATCATCATTATTATCATCACCATCGTTATTTTTACTGTTTACAAATCGTTGTTACTATTTTCATTATTATCATTACTAAAATCACTATCCTTCTCATTATAACCATGATCATTATCAATATTATCATCATTAATTATTACATTACTTTGTATCACTATATTCCTCACCATCGCCGTCATTATTTTTTTATCATTACTGCTACCATCAGTGTCACCATTATCATCATTATTACTCTTATCATGTGAATGTTATCATCACTGATATACCTCATCACTACTTCTTTACTATCACAAAATAATAGTAATAACACTATACTTATACTACACATATATGAACATAAACAACTTGGCAACATATAAGAGTCAGTTTAGAAATTAACGCAATGTCGAAATGCATTTTCCGATCTGAATTTGAACAGTGAGAGACGTAGTTATGTTTTGTCTCACCTTAATTCTATATATACACACATCTGTTCCTGTAGTTCTGCTTTTTTCTATTTTCTTTTATAGATTAAAAAAATCGTCAATGTTATTATTTTTGGCGATTTGACATCCTGGTTTGGACGTTCCATAACCTGAATTTCTTATAATAGAGACGCTAATGCCTAAAAAAACATCTAGCGAAATTTACCAATTTATGATGTATTACTAAATAAATCCTAATACATCTAGCGTCCCCAAAGGAAAATTGATTCCGTTAAGTAATTTAAAAAGAATTTAGGCAACAGGATATTAAAATCCCGTGGGGAAAATACAGGAAGAAGGATATTACGAGGCAGCAACCTGACGACACCAATACTTTTCAAAACATGAGACACATCCGGTGTTACCATGTTGCTGTCCAAAGAGTGTGTGTGTGTGTGGGGGGGGGGGGGGTCTTCGAGATAATAATTCCTATAACGGTCATATTATATGCGAATTATTCTTTATATTATCTAGAACCAACAGCAATATTACGTATATGAAAAGGTGCGAATGTAAGAAATAATATCTTCTCAATACGAGGGATGCATTTAACCGTTTTCGAATGAATCTTCGTCAGAAATACATGTACTTCTGACGAAGGTATATTCGAAACTGAATAAATGCATCTCTTGTATTGTGAAGATTTTCTTTCTCATTCATCCCTCTTCTACACATATCGTTATAAATACCGTTCAAGCAATATCACATTAAAAAAGAGTATATTTCTCCCGATAAGCAAAATTCTCCGCCTGATTACTACTCAATGAAATATTCATAATGAGGAAGAAAAGGGCGGTGGATATTCGAGAGAACAAGTTCTCTAACGACCATATCATCAATGAATTATACTATATTACCATAAAACACCTACATCATACAGCGATCCATCTATATTACCAAAAACCAACAATATACAGAAAGCATACACCTGATAAACAAAATACATCGATTTCTTACCCTGAATGCAACTCTCTCTCTGCGAATGTCTCAAGGTTCCAACTCTGTCCTTTTTTTCCCCCGTAGGCATGCATTGCAGACTGTCCTTGCAAGGGAGTCAACTGCAAGCATCCCGTTATACCACACAGGTCAAGGCTTGTATAAACTAGTTGGTTGTCTCAGCAGAAGGTCTGGTTACACCTCGAGCGAGTGAAAGTACAGATGCATTCTTAGCACAAGACCTCAAGGGCTTCTTCTGAATCGCAGAGATCGATTAGCTTATCAGGTCATGAGAAGTGAGATTCAAGAAAAGATACAATGAACTCTATTAAAAAGGATTATAAATAACGACAATATGAAAATATGGAGAATTTCGGTAAGACGGGTTTCATATCCTGTTTTAATAATACGCGTAATTCCCAGACAATGTGTGTCTGAAGGTCTGAAACTCAAATGCAGATTCTGATCTTTAAAAATGCAAACCGGCGACAGAGTTCGATTTCAGTTGTATAATGGCAGAAAATCCCATCTCTTTTTTTCTTTTCTTTTTTATTACCTGGAATCACAGGCATAAACTGTAATTACTATCTATTAGTCTTTTTATGAGAGCTAATGTGTTATTTCGATTAAATACTAAAATAGCTACAGTCCTTAGTAATATACGTATTCTAATATTAACCACAGATTTGAAGAATTTATAAACCGAACAGCAGACAGTCTAGCATAATAGCAATGACGGCGATCAAATAACGGCTTCATCCCTAATTGTGTATCAACCTTGTGCATTTGTTCCTTTGCAACTACCAAATGACAAATAAACTTCTAACCAAACCTATTCGCATCATAACCTGGTCAGGACACCATAATAGAAAATGGATTTCGTTATCGCATACTACTTCGTGGTAGAAAACGGATTCCTGGGTCGAATGCACGCACTCTGACATCATTTGTATACGATTAAAGGAATCAAGTTTGTTGCCCTCAGTAGCACCTCTCTGTATCATTAGTTTGTATTAACTAATGATACTTTATTATTTTTGTTATTTTATCACGCATGTCCAAGTTCTGTTTTTTTTTTTTTTTCTTCTTTTTTTTTTTCTTTTTTTTTTTTTGTGCTGAGCATGATGGGAAATGGAGGTAACGCATGGGAATCTTTAGTTGTAAACAGATAATCAGATTGTATTTTTGAAGTTGTACTATAATTTACAATTTTATTTTCTTGTCGTTTTGGGATGCTAGAATTGTATATAAGCATCTTTAGTAGCAGATTGTATATTACCAAAAGGAGATCTTCTGTTTTCAGTGGATAAAAAAAGGATAGCACTTCACGCTCACCAGATGAGGCAATGTTGTAAGTTTGATTTCTTTGTAATTTGCATTAATATTTTTACATAATTTTATTTTTCTTGGAAATTCATATGAGTGATTTGGTATTTGTTTTATTTGTTGTGTCCTGATTATAAGATTTGTGTTATTTGTGTTGATGTTTGTTTCAGGTCGAAATAAACCCTAAACGATTGTGAGAAGCCGTATCATTTCTGGTGACCCGTGAAACACTCTCTAAAGTGTGATCATTGTATAAATCTGTAGTTGAGAATTTATTTTATTTCTTTGTGATTTCATTATAAATTCTTGACATGTAATTGACACAAACTCAATAACCTGTACACAAATATGAAAAGGAAAACAACCATTTCTTACTGTGGCTATTTTTCTTTTCATCTTAAGTTGAATAGTCTAACGTGATTATACCAAAATTCAAGAATCTGAAGTATATTGACAACGCTTGACCCAAATCTCACTAGTTGATGAGTCAGGCATGTCTACTGAGGCATACATAAACTGCCCCTCATATTGCGTGCTGAAGCCTAAGATTACTAAAAATGGTTAATCTGAGAGTAAATATCGGTGTTTTGTAAAGTAAATCGATAAAATGATAAATAAAATGATGGAACATACTTTTATACATCTGAAAGTTAAAAAACGCCTTATACGAAATAAAATTCACCAAAAACAATTAACAAATCAAGAAATATATATTTTTTTTCCGATAGAATTAGGAAAATATGTCTAG